TTAGAGGAGCATTTAACTATTCGAAATATGCCTGTGATCGAGCGTTGGCATAACAGACGATAGCTGCGATAATAAATAATAAAAGTAATAATAATAATCGTAGGTAATATTGGCCAGAAGAAAAAATGTCCGATATTTTCATCTGGTCATTTTTGTTCTTGGTCATGTTTTTGGTCTAGCCGTATTTGTATTCGGCCATACTTTTCTCTAGTCATATTGGTAAATGGTCGTTTTTGAGTTGGCCATTATATCGTCGACTACCGTTTGTGAGTAAATTGTGCTCAGCCAAAAATCCAATGATGTAATATAATAATATATTATGATCCTTGGTGATACTCGCAGATTGAGCTATCCGATAATAGCATAAAACTTTCGATAATATCAGCGTTGAACAGTTAAGAGCAGATATCATTATTATATTGATCAGTATTCACTTCTGTAATTTTAATTCTTTTAAGTGGAGCCACATACGAATATGGTCGACAATGTATTTTATTTCAGGCATCGGCTTGTGGTACACGATACGAGGCGCCGATACTGTTGTTCGTGACATCTTATTACCTACGTGTTATCCGTTTAAAAAAATGTACGCAGGTTATAGTTAACGTAGGAATATTTATTTTAGAAGTGCAATAGTCAAAATGTATATTTTTAATACCTAGTCGAATACAAATAATAATTGTTTGCGTTAAGTTTCTAAATTTAAAGGATCCTATCGCTATCCAGCTTCCCTGCTCCACGTCTACAAGTCAATCATTTTATTTTTGTTCACCTATTTGCTTATTGTAATTGTTTTTAATGTACAGGTTGTAAATTTAATAAAAGAAAGTTTCTAAACTTCAACTCAAACAGTAATATTATTTTCACCGATATTTCCTAATATATCTGCAATATAATAAACAGTATTCTAAAAATAAATAATCATAAAATTATAACAGAAAAAAAAAAAATCAACACAGACCTATTGAACTGCTAACATTGATTGGGTAATATCGATAATTCATCAATAACACGTAGACTATGAACTCGCGGGAAATACATTTTACTAATATTATTCCTAAATTTAATTTTCTGATCTATTTTAGTAAACGGAAAAATAAACAGTATAGATATACAATATTTTATATCATTTTAAAATTAATGCGAGAAAGCAATATAAATATTATTAAATATTATTCCGCGTCTTCTTCTTGGGTATACTTAAAGTACATCGCCACAGCAACAACATTCCTCCATTGCTCCCTGTACATATGTATTTCTTCTGCATTCTTTACCCTAATTATTCTATGATCTTCCCAAATTTTATCTGACCATCGTTCTCTCGGTCTCTTTAAAGTCGGTCTCCATTTTGTTATGTTCCACAGTATCTCTCCGATCTTCAGACATGTTCGGCCCATCTTATTCTGCTGCTTTCATAGCTCCTAAAACACCGGCTTCTCCGTTCAAATTCATCAATTTTGTAACCATGCTAACCTCAAACACACCCTCTTCGTTTCCGTCCAAAAATCGCCCTCATTATTTTTCTTTCAAAAACACACAATTTTTTCTCATCTGATTTAGTGGTTGCCCCACATCTCACACGCGTATAATGCTAATTATAAGTTCGTACAATGGTTCGTACCTTGAAAGTACCTAATTTTGATTTGAATAGCGATATAGTCAAAATGACAGCTGTTTGTACTTATAATTCTTTCTATTATCTCTACGGGACTATTGGTTTTTTCATTCGCTTGCAGCACTCCAAGGTATTTGAAAAGCTCTATTATTAAATATTTGTTTATCTTAATATTTGATATCGATCTATGAATTCACTAATAAATTATGTACATGCAAATATCACTTATAAAACATACCTATCACTCTTTAGCCTTTTTAACAATAACTGTTAAGATTCGTTTAAATGATTTTTTTTATTTCCAAAATGTATGTTAAAATTACGAATGAACCAATGTTCTAAAAAAAATTAAGCTGTAATTATCCGATATTCGATGCATGATGATTGATGTTGTCAAATATCCATCGTAATGGAGCAGAAAATTGTTTATTGCTACAGAATCGTGTTACACACTGCAGTTTAATCAGCTGATAATACATCACTGTGGTAATTTTTAGAAGATTGATGGATGATTAAAAATATTGATCCAAATTATATACAGTTTGGAAGAAAATTGAGGTTACATTAGTTTTGTACGCGTAGTGAACAACTGTAATCGACTCAACGGTCTATTTCCGTACAAATCGAGGTAAACATTTATTATTTACGATTAAATCAATAGAAAATAATTATAACAGTAAACAAATTTATATCGTTTTATTTGAATTTAGTGATAATAGATCATCATCAAGTGTTATTATAGGTATTGATAAAATGACTAATAATAAAATAATTAATCAGAAAGAACCGTGTTATTTCACACTGATTATTGAATACACAAACAAATCAATTCATATCTATTTTCAAATTTGAAAAAATTGTAAAGGCAAGATATATTATAATATACTCTTGTATAGATAGTGGTTTAATTCATATCTGTATCTATACTTAATGATAAAAAATCGCGAAACGATTCTGAACGAAGGTTCGTTAGACGTTCTTCGATTAGCATAAATTGAAAATTTTGTTGATTTATAACTATATTAGGTATACTAACTACAAAACAAACTACGATTGTCCATGTTTTTTGGACTCAAATTAATGAGTATTTTTATAAAGCTAAAAAATTGTATTAATATAAACTAAAAATATTGTGCAAAATGCAGTGCGATTGTTCTTAAAATTTAATTGTACCATATGTCTAAAATTAGTTAATTTTGAAAAATTGTAGGTCTCTATTATATAGTTATTGATCACTGAATAGAAATAAAAGTACAGATCGGCAAAAAGGAACTTAAAATGCTTACGAATATACTATAAAACGAATAAATGCGCGTACAAATTAATTCTGTAACTTTTTTTCCGGGAGTTATCTATTAATCGTTTGAATAATGATTATATGTGATAAAAATAGAACAAAATGCTTATATATTCCGGACTATCGACGAGATGAAATTCGGGACCGACAGTAGAAGTTCAAAATTATTGATAACGATAAGATTCGGTCTACTAGATTATAACAACACGTAGGTACAATTATAAAAGAATAGCTCTTGTTCTGTCCATTAGAGGTAATGATAGGTATGCTAATAATAATATTCAATTCAAAACATAAAAAGCCTTTTCACCGGATAATATTCTGCAGATGCGCATTGCTCTATACCTAATAAATTATTATATATTAGGAGGTACCTATACGTGTGACGTGCGTATGAATAAAACACGATTTCGAAATAAACGTGCATCGAGAGTCGTCCGCAAGTTGAATATCGTAAGTATGTTTCGTTATAACAATTGGTTATTATATTATAAACGAACTTGCTTGTCAATAGCATTCCCGTATCCAATAGTATTGTATATGAATGGGTATTATGTACCTACCTGTACGTGATGTTTTTCTGTTAACAATCGCGTGAATTCGATTTGGATGATTCTGGTTTCGATAGAATCGTAAAAATTATCCATAAAGTCCATATATAGGACGACCGATGTACGATGATATAGTAATAATTGGGCCACGAGTGGAAATATAAATAGGTATGTACGTTGAAATAATTTTCTTTGGGCACAGCAACTCACGTATAGTAGTAGTACCTATAATACATGTTTTCCACGCAGCGGAAAGAAAACGCTTTGGTGATTTTACGCACCTTATCTTACGAACGAAATTGTCTTTGAAGCACTAATATTTTGTGAAACAAAATTAACTTTTAGAATACTGTGGCATTAGTACAGGGAAAAAAACCAAGGAGTAAAAAAAACCATGTAATTTCCAAAGTCATCTGGCGTGAAAATATAACAGTTTTACTATATAATAGCGCTACAAAGAACATTCGGGAAGTCAACGATATTTGTTTCAATACGTATTTCCGTGAAATGAGTTTTGACAAAAAAAAAAAAAAAAATTAAAATCTAATAGAAATAAGCCGGACATACTTCGCATCAAGGATAGACCAGGTAAGTTGGGAAGTTGGGAATAATTTTAGAATAATATAGAGTAATGTTTAGTTTATATATTGAAACTTCTGCAAGAAACAACAAATGACTGCAATTAAAAAAGCGACCCCGAATGGAGTTCGGTAAACTGTTATGAGGTATTTATAGTATTATAGTCGTGTTTCTTTTGTAATAGCCATCAAATTAACCCAGAAATCCACAAAAATAAAATCGATAAATCGATGTATCGTTATAAGTTGTTAATTTTTAAGAAAAATCTGTCGGGAGTCTAGAAAAGCGTTTCAAATAATAATGTAGCACCGGGCGACAAATCTGTAACATTTAATATACGATGTAAAATTTGGAGCATTTTTTTACTGACCGAAAATGTTTTTCGCAGAAAACCCCTAAAAAGGGGCAAATACTTTGAAAATATTTGAAGTAGAAATTGCCACAGGGCGTATTTTAAGGTGCGGTATGGGAAAATTGGAACATGTTTACTAGCTAAAAGAGTCGAAATCCTGAAAAATAGCCACTATTAATGGTCAGGTTAGGTTGAAGGTTAGTTTGAGATAGGTGAAAAAAACAAATCTTCGGTGACTGAGGCTGCTATAGACGACCCGAAACCGAACGGAATAATATAGGTACTTATCGTAATTAACGCCCGTGGACCGTACTTTGTATAGATACGGACCGTAAACTATTATAATACACACCTAACGACTGTTATACCGTTCGACTAATTTCCGCGGCGGCGATCCAGTTCACAGGTGATCATTAACGAGAAAAAAAACGTTCGTAGCTCGCATAATATAATACTGTCCGCGTTATTATTTCACACGACCGCCGCAGAGTTTTTTCCCCGCCGGCACGGAACGTTTTTTGGATTTCGTTGTCGTCTCCCGGCCGGCCGTCGTCGAGCGCGCTATTTGAGTAGGACAGAAAGGAAAAAAAGCGCGAAACGAAACCAATGGAAAACCGAAACAAAAAAAAACCCCAACGACATTACGCGGCGAACGTGATAACCGCGCGAACGGAACGCGCGCACGCCATCGCCGTTCGGGGTCACCGCCGCCGGAGGGATAACGGAACCCGGCCGGGCCATCCGCCGCCGAGTCGGGAGGCCGACCGGCCGGCCGGCCGCGGCCTATCGGCCGGCGACGACGACGACGGTTGCCGAACGTCCGGTTTCTGGAAAAAAACGGCGGCGGTGGCGGTGGTGGTGGAGGCGGCGGCGGCGGCGGCGGCGGCGGCTGGAGGACCGTGTCCGTACGACTCCTCGTCCGTTCTTGCGCGACACGGTCTCAGTCTCGTACAAGACGCCGACGCCGCAGGACTTTAACGCACAGCACCTCTACTGACTGCCGCGCGCGTTTAGTTTTCCGTCTGTTCTCATTTGCGTTTTTGTTTTTTCCCCGGACACCCGGAGACCGGTTCCGAGTCGGGTACCCGCCCGCCCGAAATTACGTATTATCAATACGGGCGCATCGCACTGCGCGGTACTCGCGGAACGCAACGCCGTGCGGACGACCGCCAGTTTTCGGTCGCTTTTTCGAGAGACGACGATATTTTATCGTACGTCGGGGTTTTTTTTTTTTCTTTCTGTTTCGCCCCCTCGCAATACCCGAACGAGTAGCAGTGTTCGCCACGTCCGGTCCCGTTTCCTCGACCGAGCGAACCCCAACGTTTTCACACCGAGGTAAGGATAAGAGTACAACCGTATTATTATTATTTTATTATTATTAATTTTTTTTTTTTTTTTTTTTCATTAATGTATTATATCGTTATTGTATTCCGTTTGATTTTCGCGTTCGAAAAACATCGTCACAATACCGACCCGCGATCCGTGCAAAATCCGAACTTTTGGTACAGCGTGGCCGAAACTCACGGTGTTGTCTTTACACACTATATTTCTCCCGTTTTCAGACTCTCAACGAAACGTAATGGACCGCAAGTTTTACTATGGGTTTTATTGTGCGATTTGTTCTGTCCGTCGGCAACTTTTCCGCCGGAAATCTCGTTACGGTTTTCACGCGTGTTTTCCCAAAGCAAATTTCGTTTTCTCGGCGCGGCCGGGACAGGTCGCGGTTCAAAACACGTTCAACCGAACTCTGTTCATAATCGGTTTGTTCGTTTATTTCGGTCGTTGTACGGTCAATCGGAATACTCCGACACTCGTGCGTTCGACGTTATACCTGTGTATGGGTAATAATAGTATTCCCGAACTGTCAATTGAAAATAAGTAATTCGTTTCGTCATGTCCAAATTGTAATGTGTATTCATATTTCAATGGCTACGGGTTTTCATATCAAATCGTATACAAGAATAATAAAAATTGTCATTTTCCGATCCATAATAAGTACGTACAATGAACAGCGATAATATAATACCGCGTAATCGATTCGTGCATAATATAATACATTACGAGTTTACATAATTTTGATGAAAATAGCCCAAACATTTTGTTTTTCTCGAATTGAGTTTGTTTAATTTTTACGTCAAATTCAAAATAATAACAAGATAACATATTTTCGATAAATTATCCCGAAACCTAAAACCGTAATATTATTAGTTCACATTTCGTATTCTTACTGACACACGATCGGTAAGATCAGACCCATTGTCTCGTATTTTACTGATCGAATATCGATTCGTGTTTTTATAAAAAGTGGCATTTTCGAAGGTAACGTATTTAATTGTTTAATAAGGATTTAACTAATACTAAAGAGATTCAACAACTATTGTACGTACAGATACATAGACATGCTATTTATTAGTGAACGGTCGATAAAATATATATAAAACGCTCGAAATACTCGAATACCGAATGTAGCGTTGTGTCAGTATGCTATATGTTTGTTATCGTTTTCGAGTTTTCGTACGAATAACCGTTTTTAATTTAAATCTGAAAAACAGCGCATTTGTTATTATTATTATTATTTTTTTTTTGTTATTTTACATACGTCGCCCGTATATTTCTCGTATTTCGGAAGTGAACAATGCGGATAGGACGTCAGGACGGCAGTGTCACTGTCAAGCGTTACTGCAATGACGAAAAACTCACTGTCGCCGAACGCGACACAGTTTCAGCTTATTAATAATTCAAGAGGCTTGTGATACGTATGCCCCGTCGTCGTGAGACGGTAAGTCAGTCGGACGAAGTTTCGCTCGATCACGATGCGCGTAACATTAATATCGTAACGTATATCGTACACGCCGTATAGAAATGATATCTGGGTCATAATAACTTTTTCCCGAATGCGGAGGTGTACGGTATAATACCGAACGAAATACCTATTTCCCGTGTTAGTATGGAAATGATTCCGCGAGGTTTTCAACGTCTATATTTATACGTAATTCGATTCGACGCCGCAGCAATTGTAGTTACAGCGGGTATATAATATATTATACGTAAAAAAACGTATAAAACAATTTTTTCGTCGGGACGCCGACGGTTCATCGGACGATTGGAAATCGCGAAACAATATGTATACGATAATTAATATATCGTCCGTGTTGTAAAAAAATGCACGTAGGATAGAAAAAAAACAAAAAAAGAAAAGATTTTTGATTACTTTCTCGCGCGATGCTTCAATATTCAACATTAAAATGCCGTTAATATTCGATCGGTGTAGTTGACCGAATTAAAAGTAAATTAAACAAAAAGTGAAAAAAGTAATTACCCTATACAGAAGCATATAGAGCTCCGAATCTCGGTTTCCATAAAAAAAAAATCCGATTTTTATTAAATTTTAAATAATATGTAAATTGCGTTATTTGATTTCATTTTTCTTTCATATTTCATCAGCTATTGTGGTATAGTGTTTACTATACCGCGATTACATTAATCTTAATTTTTATATTTTACATTTTGATCGTATAGCGTATAATGGTTTTACTATGAAGAATTTTTTTTTCTTTTCTGTCCGTTAACAATTTGTGTACCAGAAATCTTTTCCGATCATCAATTTCAGCGGTGGTTTCTGGTATTCAATTTTGTCTAGTTGTCTGAGTACTCTGGGGAGACATTTTTTTGATTTTCCTCATCACCTTTTGAATAATTGAGAAAAACTAGGAAAAATTGTCAGAAAAACGGGGAAATTATGCAATAATGGTAATAATATTCTAATATTTTTAAACTTGGTAAATATTGATCAAAATACACCGTCGATTTTTGAGTTATTTGAAATGTTCAAGTTTTTAGTTTTAGTTTTATGTACACAAAATTATTTTGGCCGTCAAAAATACTCGACAATTTAACGTCAAGTTCGTCATAAGTCGTAAACAAAAGAAACGTTGAGCGTATCGTAGTAATTTTTTTTATAAGCGTTTCAAGTTTAAATTTGACAAAAATCACGGCATTTGAAAACATGTTTAACTAATCGTCGCTCAGAATCGTTTTCCGTTAGCTACAATGATTTTTCATTGCATATATTGATACAAATTAAATTACCCTATTAATTACACCGTATCTACCGTATCTTTCCCGTTTCCCACTCGTTTTATATTTAATTAAATATAGGTATACCTACTCATAAAACAATATTTCACAATAAAAAGTTCGGGTTGTTAATAATATTTTCGGTCAGGTTTTCGTCACGTTTTAGAATTTATACATTCAGTTTCAGGGAAAATGTCAAGAAGTCAATTTTAGCAATTTTTTTTTTTAGTTTTGTTTTAATAAGTCGTTCTCTTTTAATTGTCGGTCTTAATCGCGCGAGTGTACATGCACTTTCGTTAACGATTCGTATATATTTTCAAACCGTACGAAATCGACCCAAGCCATATACTTCCCCTATATATCAGGACTAAAACCACGCATTTCTTATAAAAATACGTTCCGTCGGGTTCGCGCGTAACTGTGCGTATGGTATAATCCAATATGGTATAGTGCGTTTTTCAATCGATTAAAATAACATTGAATTTGTACAATATTTTTTTTAAACGGATTTCGCATTGTTAAATACTTTTTGTTCGCGACGAAGACGTGCGCTGTAGCAGTTCTCGTGGCATTATTGTTATATTTTTATTGACAGCGATACTCGTTCCGTTTCCGTATACACGCAGTAATAAACGGCCGTCGACCCGTAAGCTATACAATAACGCCGGGTATACCTATGCAGTTTATAGATACTGTACAAGTTTACGACTTGAGGGGAAGCTATTGCTCCCCGTGTACTGTCTCGGTCCGACTAACGCACACCGCGTAGAACCCGCTCGATTTTGGTTTTAGAGTAAAATCGCCTGTTATAAAACTAAAAGAAGACGACATACCGAGGGGGGGGGAGGGTGAAGAGGAGGAGGGCGAGAGACGACGCGTTTTCCATAGTATTCTAATCGCTATTCCGGATAAAACGTTCAACACGTTGTTTACAAATAAAAACTGAGTCGTCGGTTTTAAACGACTGTAACATTAGAAAAAAAAGAAACGCATCGCATCGCCTTGCCCCCCGGAACATTGTCTTTTTTTTTTTTTTTTTTTAAATTTTATGCGACGTGCTCTTACGCCGGAAAACCAAAATCGAACCAGCTATACGGCGATTATTGCCCCGTTAGTCGGACCGAGACGGCGCGTGCGGGTAACAGCGTCCTCCGCGATAATACGCAACTGCACGCGTACTGCGGCGATAACGCGGACGGGACGGTCGACCGAACCGAAATACGGTTTCGCGCGTACGCGCAGTGTGCGAACGAAATCCGGTCGGAAACGGACGTATTATTTTTCACCGGCCGATATTCTTCCGATCTCCCGAAGACATCGCGATTCGTTCTGGCTCGTTCGCGGTTCGTCGCGGCACACTACGCGCACATACTTTTGCGTATACCGCATCACATTGAGTTACTTGCCCGTGTACATCCGTGTGTTTTTCCGATTATCCGCGCGCTGTTTTACGCGTTATGTTATTGGCGTTCGTTATTGTAATAAGAGACGCGAGAGAAAAACAAAAACAAAAACGAAAAAAAACCGCACACCGCGGTGCACGGTGCACACTCGAACGCGCGTACTGCGATTTATCGCCCGCGAACAATTTCGTCGAACGGTTGTTCTTTATAATTTCCCGAGACGCGTCTGTAACGAAAAACATAAAATTCTATATATTCCGGTACACACTGGTCAACGTGGTTTCGGGTCAACGAACATCAGATCGATAAATTTCCGTTGGAATTATAATTAGCCGTCATCGGACGCTTCCGACTGTGTATAAAATAACTGTTATTCGCGTTTACCCGCATATACAGTTTAAAAAAAAAACTTAAAAACTAAAATCTGTGTCAAATTATGTAACGCGAATTCACAATAAATATCCGGTGGGAATAAACTACCGGATGAATTGGAATTTCGAAATATTTTCCGAGGAAACAAGACAGTATATGTTCGGTACGTTTGTATCCTGTATCTTTTGGTATCTTCAATTGTATTTCTGTATTGCCTAAATACATTTTTTCATTTCCGTAACTTTTTATGCTGCGCCAACATACCATATAGATGCAAACGAATGTATATGTATTAAAGTTTTACATAAAATCAAACAAAAGTATTTGTCTTAAAAAACCCTAATAATTATGATTGCGTACTTTTGATATTTTGTTGGAAATAAGTAATACTGAGATATTTTATACCTATATTGTACCTTGTATCTAGTAAATAAATCCCGTCAAAATGTATGCATCTGTATAGTATCTTGTGTCCGGTTTTTTTTTTTTTTTTTTATGAAAGTACCTTGCTTCGTCCGCGCTTATGCCAGCGTATTATACGTCAACAATTTCGATTTTAACGGATTTTCGGTTACGTATAAATTTTAAACTATTATGCTTATCCCTGTTAACCTATTGTGATAGTTATTAATTTTTTAAACACAGGTATAATATTATAACACTCGAGGTCCGTTCACCGTACGTTGTATAATTACGTGTGTGCAGTAACGTACGCAATTAGGCGGCTCTTGTAATCGAATTAACAATAATTATACGCCTGTGTTATTAAAACGTATTTGTACGTGGTTCTATATATAGTGCCTGTATAGTTACGGAATCCAATTTCTCTATACTCGTCGTATATTATTATCATTATTATTATTATTATTATTATCATCATCATCGTCGTCGTCATTATTCGTTTCGCGTCCACACGTAAATGAAAAAAAAATTGAATCGACTTTTATTCGTATTCCAACAATGAAAAGACGCGTCGAATTACTTCTTTGTGTCAATAAAATAGTAGTAGTAGTACAAGTCGTTGTAGTAGTAATAGTGGCAGTAGCGCAGTTGTAGTAGTATTAGTAACAATAATAAATACGGAGAGGCAGTCATAGTGGCATTTACCGTCTCGGTCTTTCTAACGGGTAAAATATGTAGTAAAAACGTATTCACATAAACCAAATGAAACGAAATGAAATTGATAAAAAAAAAAAAAAAAACTATACAAAATGATATAGATGGCATCATTTCGAAGACAATAACCTCATGGTCAGTTTTTAAAATATTAATAACTACAAAGTTATAAAAAAAAAAAAAACAGACATACTTCGCTGTTGCAGATGAGGAGTTGGGAAAATAGGATGTATAGGGGAATTTGATTTATTTCTGTACGCAACGTAAAAATTGTTTTCAACGAAAAACGATTCGGAACAAAGTTTCTATAATACATATATGTATATTTTCCCGTTTTTCGTACGTTTTTTCCAATTATTATGAAAATTACTTGGATTTTTTAATTGTATAGGATGATCAAAAAAAAAACAAGAAACATAGAAAACATAGAAAACAACATCACTTATCTCGAAAATAATAATAGTCACGTGTTATTGGCTGAGATACAAGGTTTTGATATACAGGTGATGTTATCATTTTTGTGATTTTCGATTTTCAAAATTATCGAACAAAACGTTTTCGGAAACACTTGTTTTATTAATACCATTAATAGTCTCATTGGGCGAAAACTTTAGATATGAGCTGTTGCGTTGTAAACAACGGTTTCTAATTTATTTAGATACAATACCGCACACTGAACAGTGCACGTCATTAAGCACTGTTACGGTTTGTCATCCGTTTGTCATCCGAGCTTTCTTCCCTCGCTAACTCCGCGTTTGCCTACAATTGTTACCAGTGTTGACATTTTAAAATATCTAGATAAAAATAAGTGATAAAAAATTACAAACATAATTATATGGACGAAGTTGAATAATTCGAACCGTTTTATCTAGAAAAAAAAAAAAAAACAACACGAAATCATTCGTTACCTTTCATAAAACCAAGTGGTAAGTGTTTATGATACCTAATTATAATGACCACATTTGATAGTCATTCACATAATATCATAAAGGTTATGCGATAGTGATTGATCTAACATGATAATAATTAGTTTATTAAACCATTATATCATCAGTGTACATGAATATTTTGCCCATTCCGTAGTTATTGTACGCATTTTATATTACGATTTAAAAATATTTATCTAGACGGTTTAAATATTTATCTCGAATAATTTATTTCTCGTTTATCTGGATAAGATAATAAATGTACAACGCTATACCCGTCCATTTATACAGGGTGTCCTATAGTCTTATCCGAATGCTGTTAACCATTTCAATGTTCATTTCGTTATTCGCCAATCAACGTAGAAACAAATTCAATTTTTATGTTCATCCGTTAATCACTGAAAAAGTTTAACTTTTTATTATTTCACTTTTCAACATTTTCAAAATAGTCGATTTGTAAAATGTATTATTCCAAACATTTTATCGTAACATACTTACACCTTTGATTAATATTCTCTAAGAAACAGCCGTTTTAGTTTCTAGATAACCGGCGTGTAAATAATTGTATTTTCAATAGAATAACACGTTATTAGGGAATCACAATCAGCACGGTAATTCCTTATCTCCTATTGAATATTGATTGGTTTCGCGTACTATTTTCTGTAAACTAAAGCCGCTATAACCAAGGAAATATCGATAGGATATGAATGCGTTAAAACGTTTAGACAAACATGTGTGCCGGAATCGGCTATTTCGAAAAATGTAAAAAGCGAAAGGGTTATTGTTTTTCAGCGACCGAGGGACGTAAACGAAAATTAAATTTGTTCTGCACGTTCTCGTTCCCCCCACCCCACCCCCGGGACACCCGAAACCGAATGGGGGGGGGGAAATCGACCGTCAGATCGCCAGCGTCCGGACGACGCCGCGGGACAGTATTCCAACGGCGCGCACCGCGTAATTGTTTCGGCGATCCGCACGTCCTGTCCCGAGGATTTTCGAACGGCGTACCCGTTTCCCACCGCATGTCCGCCGAACGCAGCGCACAGCAACACATCGCCGTCGTACGCGCGCGGTAACGAACGCGCGTGCCCGCCGCGGTCGCCACTGCCGATCATAACGGACGCGCGCGCGCGTGTGTATAATAGCGCAGTGATAATAATAACAATAATAATAATAACAATAACAATAATAATAATAATAATAATAATATTGTTCAACGCGGGGACCTACATCGCGGACATGACGTTCGCGGTGTGCGTGCGTGCCGCGCCGTTTCTTTTTTACCCGTCTCTCGACACCGTACGAGGTGTACGCACTTGTGCCTGTACGTTATACCGTTTCGTGTCGTCTCGTTTCACCGCTGTCCGCGTACATGTACGTGTATGTTATGGTATACCCGCGCGTACAATAAATTATCGTATTTTTACGATTGCGTTTCGAGTATGTTATCTCTCTCTCTCTCTCACACACACACACACACACTCTCTTTCTCTCTATCTCTCTCTCTCTCTCTCTCTCTCTCTCTCTCTCTCTCGGTGTACGTAATACGCGCAGTATTGCCTGGTCGTCGGCCGTTCGCCCGGGTCGCGACCGTACAGCAGCGCGGCCGGCACCAGCGACCAGCGTCTGCAGCGGCGACGGGCGCACGTCGACAAGAGCGCGTCTAGACGCAACGTCGGCCACGGAAACGCGTTCCGGCGGACGACGGAGTTTCGTTTCGGGGGCCGGAAACGCGCGAGATAACGAACGGTAGCGTTGTTTTTTTTTTAAATTTTAATCGGCTGTCCCGGGAACGCGAAATCGCCGTGTCTCGCACCGACCGCGCCGGCGAATGTCCCGTCCAGACAGACCATAGGTGTTCTTTAACCCCACGGTCCGCGGGGCGGCCGGTGGGTGGTCCGCGGGCGCCGCGCCCACAAAATTGAAAACAACAATACGCGACGCGATAGCGGTTGTTGCAATCTCACGACCGACGCCCGACGCGGCGTTGTTTTGTTCCACGCGCGAAAACTTTGAGATTGATTTGATCGATAGTTCCCGAAGTACGACGGCGTAGAACCGACGGGTATCCGAAGTACGGTTCGGAACCGTTTTGTCTAAGTGGTCCGTTGTGTCAAAAACATCAAGAACCACCGGTTCAGATGTATGCGTTCTATGATTCAGGGACGTCCTGTCACAGTGCCGCGTCTCGGTACCTATCTGTATTTCTAACGGACAATAACATTATGTACACATCGAAAATGCGTTCACGTAAAACAAACGAAAAGACCTTTGGAACAATTTTGTTTAGACGCGTTATACCCGCTAATATCGTTTTCCATTGTGATTCTACTCGTGAACACTACACACGGCTACTTGCAAATACGCTACACTCCTGTATATTATGTTAGTACAACGTGGAACATGACTTACAATCGTACCATATTGATATACAATATCTATAGGCTATATAACACACATATATATTATAGTTGATATCATTATTATTTCATCGCCGCTGGAAGATAAACACGAAAATAGTGAATTTAACGCGAAAACGACTTTTTTGTTGAAACCCATAGACAAACGGATAATAATATTTATACAAATACATACCGATGATAAACACAATAATGCAAGAATGGTCGAATAATATGATTCTATCTACACGGTGTAGAGTTTATGCATCCCCAAACCGTCAAAATCGACGGTATTGTTCTTTCTTCTGCTCTCGCGTAGCACTAGCTGGTTGATAGCAACAGTCAATAAGTGCAGTGAGATTAAAAACGCTATAAAAACAATTATTAAAAAAAAAGTTACATTTCTGAGAAAGAAAAAAAAAAAAATTCTAAAATACGACTTGCCGTGCGTTCGATAATATCGTGTTGAATACTCAGAGAATATTGCAAAACGCCAACGAGATTGCAGTATTTGAAAGGTTGTCGTCTACGGATTGTACAACGGGTGTTCCATCAGTTCCAAAACCTTTTTAATTTGTTTTACTTTAAACGGATTTTTTTTTTTTTTTTTGTTATTTCGCCGGTTAGAAAGACGGTGACGGCAAATGACGATACTGTTGTGACGGCCTCGTAAACCGTTCGAATGACGATAAATAACACTGCGCGTCGGTATAATGTGCACGTACGGCGGCGAGATAATGTACAATTAAAGTAGTATATTTTTTTATTTTTTTTTTTTTTTTTCACTGCGATGCGAAAAAAAATATACATAAAAATAATACAGTTATACGCGGAGCATTGTCTTTCGTATTCGCCCATCAGATAATATTGTACTGCGGTTTTCCGGACAGACGTTTTTTTTTTTTCTCTCTCTCTCTTCCGCCCGGAGCCGTTTGTCAACCACCCGCGTGCGAAAACGCGACGGCGACCGAATGTATATTGCACCCGTGTCGTTGAACCCTCTTGTTGCGCACAGCCTTGCACAGCGCACCTCGGGACCTCGGCAGGACTGCCGGCGCGTTTTTTACGCGAGTTACAATGTCGCGTTTTAACGCTAAAAAATTCGCATCGCAACGCTATTATACCGTACGCTCACCGTGAACCGGGTGGGTAAACGGCAATAACGCGTGAATATACAGAATGAGAGGCTATCGCATTCAACTGCGACTCGGGTTCAACGGAGATTCTCTGCAACGTAGCACGCGTTCACGCGCCCGCACCCTAAATTCTAAAACGTTCGGACCTATTCGACCTAGTCGACGATTTCGACAGCCAATCGCATTCGTCTGTCGATCTTCACGTCCGTTACACGAACACGTTTTAACGGGTACACGATTAAACGTTTCTATTGATAATAAGAGGAATCTGTACGCCGAATGCAAACAATAATTGTACACGCCGTGTAAAATATTATCGTTTCCGGTATCAATGGAATTTATTCCGCGTTGTATTCTGTACACAATAATGTCCGTCGTCCCTAAACACTCGTAACGTACGGATAGCGTTTATCAAATTAACATAATCATAATTGAATGACTGTATAACAGTTATTACGTATACTTTCTTGAAAGACGTATGCGCGAAACGTTGAATCAGCGGAGCAAATAGGACCGGAGGTCTTTGACTCGAGTTACCCACTAATTGTGATAATAATACATCTAATGGGTACTTATACGCATACCGAACCGCGGTGGCACCGGAGCTATTACGTATACCGGTTACGGTAAATTTTTTTAACTAATTTCAAACCGACTGTAACAAAAACCGTGTTCTCGGTAAATCTTTTACGCGAAGATTGGGCCACCGTGTGTATTCTCATTTTTTTTTTTTTTTCTTTTATAGATTCAAATAGCGAAGCGAGAAATGCATTGGTTGCAAACTATATGATGCGTATTATTTTTTTTTTTTCTGCGTCCGTAAACAACGTTTCTACCGAAATTCTCGCCCCAATCGAAAACTTTAAATGGACTGTTTTTGATGTGCTGAGAATGTACTTTTTCGATTTTCCACGTATATTTCTTAACACCGACGGGAAAGACCGGCAATTATTCGTATCATTCCGTGTATTGATATGTGGAAATACAACTAATTATTATACACTCTGCACAGAATCATTTTTCAATGGGGGCAATGACTTATCGTTACGTGCAGCTATAAATTAAATAAATTACCCCGTACAATATATTCTCCTTTTTAAACTTTTCTCCTGCTAATGGAGTGTGGTGACACGCCATCGGCAGTTTCGGCGTTTTATTTTTTTTTTTTTTTTTTTTATATACGGTGGCACGGGAGTTTGTTAGTGGAATATATTTACTAGTAATTACTATACAAATAGTAGATAATTAAATATTGTACTTTTTTATTTTAATTTTTTTCGACTATATCATCATTAATCCTTGAAATAATTGTTTCTGAAACTGATTGCATTTATCGGAGAAAAAAACGTAACAATGTTTTTTCGAACGAACAATAAAAACGAATTTCGTTTGTACACGCCGTATTGTATTAAATAATATAATATTATAACTGAAACACGAGCCCGTGTAAGTAAAACTGCAATTTGATTGGCATCGAATTTTTTTTTTTTTTTTTTTTCAAGAGAATTGCACTCCGATCATATTATATGGTACCTTACTCAAAACGCGATATTTATTCCCATACGTATTATCATTCATAAAACTCAATTTAGATTTGAATGTCTTTTTGAAGTATACGTACATTTTATTTAAAATGCGTCTAATATATTATTCGATTTCGAACAAGCAATATTGCATGCGTGTGTCGGTGCGAGCGTATATCATAATAAATATATACATTTTCTTTTGAAAAATTTGAATACAAGTTCTTATAAAAAAAAATGCGTCTATAACGTCGTAATTTATTATTAAAACTCGTCGGTTATGTCGCCGTACAACACATTTTGATCGTATTACAACGTTGAAATAACAATAATAATATATAATTATACTGATTGTTGTTAGGTGTATTTTTGAGCGGCCGACGTCTCGCGTAGGTAAACGACTTCGATATAATTTTTCGTTCGGTATTTAAATATATATTATTACGTTCGGGTAATACGCTTTCTCGACAAAAATGCGTTTTCCACAATAAAGCCAAAACAGTTTTGAATGATATTTATCGCATGAATAATTCATAATATAGCACGGTTATATTCCTGGGTAATGTTCTGCGGTTTACTGTACTTTTAGTGATAATAATATACAATACCCATTCACATGTTATGCGGCACTAGGTCATCGATGCAGATGCGTGATCGTCTTTTTTCTTTTTTTTTTTTTTTACTCTAACGGTGACGTCGCACACTAAAAACCCACGTAATATTTGTTCAATGCCCGTGCACAACACCACAATCGGAAACACCTCACAAGTCGAAATTGTGTTAAATCGTTTAACTCTGTCACAGTTTTTCGATTTTCTCGATGTAATCGGTTAATGGGGTTAAAAGGGTAATGCGCATTGCCACAGAACTCGTCGGTTTGACAATATTTTACTGTTGGATCTCGTTCGAAAATTCAACGTCGCCGAATAAATATTTCCATCGGATGCCGCGTTTAATATTACGCTCTAGTATTGCCTACATCGGTTTATACTTGTCACTATTTGCCGTTGAATTTAGATCCATGGCTAGAAATAAGATTATATTAGGACCGATTGTATTCAATAATGGCGCGATCATGCGATTACGTTCCATTGTCGAGTTTTTAAAAGGCAAGGTAAAATGTCTAATGCACCCGAAAAGCCGGTCAGTAACTATAGTTAAAAAGTTGAAATTGAAATTATAAGTTACCCTTTTCAAGATCCATTTTAACTTGACTAGTTTTTTAAAAATATAAAACAATATGTTGGAAAGTAACTTATACCTAATTATTTCTTTTGGTAAATAATTTTAATTTAACTTTATTAATTTATTAAAATTTATGTTATTTTCTCAAAACCACGTTCCTATGTTTTCGCATTTATTTTTTTTTTTAACGAAAATGACTTGTTTTTACGCGGATAACATCGTTGCATAACAATACGAACCTGCGACGCGTGCATAGCTAAGGTATACCCGTGCGTGAATTGAATGGTAAGTCTTTAAATATTATTAGAGTGAAAAATACGTTTATGAGCGTTTAGTAAAAGACAATTCGAAAAAGTAACTTTAAACTACAGATAACTTGCCCGAGTTATCGTTTTTCAACTCGACTTGGTTGACCGAATTGGTTTATATTGACTCGATTAATTAAACTGTAGTTTATAGAGATCGCAGAAGAGGTGAAGACGAGACTGTTAAGGCGGTTATGCAGTGGAAACACCTCGGGGAGGAATAGGTAGAGCAGGAAAAGACGGATTCACGCGGTCGAAGAGGATTTGGTGACCGGAGATAGTGGTTCGAGATTAGAGACGGGCGGCGGCTGAGTGCAGTGAGAGGCTTGAGAGAAACAAGGTCAAAGCGGGATAGGATACGTCTCTGCAGTCTCCGCCCGTCAATACGTCCGCGGTCCGCGAAAGAGAGACAGACGGCGAGAGATGGTGAAAAACCGATCGGTCGGCCCGCGCTCGGCTTCGGTGAACACGGTAAAACTCCCGTTAACGGTCACCTCTATGCAACGGCGATTTTTGATTTTTTTTTTTTTTCTTTCTCTTCGCCCCGTCAAGTGTTACCGCGTCTGTCCGTCGGGTAACCTACCCTAGAGCACGGTCACCACTAAACGGCGGCGGTCGTTATTTCCGGTCGCTCCGGCGACCGGCCGTTGCGTGGATGTTTCACCGTATCCGTCCGACGACGGCGACAGATCTCCGCGGCGCGGGTGCAATGTCGGCACCACGGCACATTTGCGAAACGACGTCTGCGGTCGGGGTATCGTACGCGGTAACGGTTTAGGAGGGAACCCCCGCGACGAGGGGGAAAACAACAGAGAAATACCGCGGTGTCCGAGAAATCACGCGTCGTAACAATATTATCGTTGTCCCGGCGCGCACAGGTAGAGGCGTGTATCACGTAAGGACGGGGGGAAAAAAAAAAAAAGGAAAAAAAAACAAAAAAGGAAACGACGCGGCGATTGGTCACACCCGGTTACCGTTTACGCGTATCGTAAAACAGCATAACGACAATAACGCGTAACCCGGAGCCGCGGCCGTTAATCGTTATTGTGTTATCCGGGTCGCGGTATCGGGGTTTCGTTCCATTTCCCCGCCGCCGCGGCGGTCGGTTGTTTATTTTTTTTTTTTTCCCCCCCGTTCCGTCGCGTTCGACAAAACATAATAACACGCACGCGGGGGCACGCGGTGTTTTCGCCGTCGCCCCGTCGACCGGAAAAAAACCAGAGCGGAGCCGGTACCCGCGAGCCGCCAAAACACAACGGCTGTGCGGACGACGAAACGCCGGATTCCCTCGCAACGGATTCTCACGTTTCGCGAAATAATGGAACGCGCGTTATCATTATTATCGTTATTATTGTCGTCGTCGTCGTCGCCGTACACTATCCCGAGCGTAGTGGTCGCGCGTTCGATTGTTGCCGTAACGCGCGGTCGGACGATTTTACGCGCGACAAAGTGGTTGTCGTTCCACCGCCGTTCCGTTCATCGGCCCGAAACGTTTATCCCCGTCGACGGCGCGCCGATACAATAACAATTAGTCTTTTATGTCTCGGCCGCGTCGTACGTACCGCGACGATTGTATTACTCGTATTATTCGATTATTTTTTTATTTCCCCCCCCCCCATTTCTCGTCTCGCTGTTATTTTTCGCCTCGTCCGCGATAATTGTTACGACGACGACGGATGTAATAAAAGAACGTTCTCGGCTATACAGCAGCCGCCGCGGTTCTCCGTCGTAATCGGACACTGTGACGGCGGCGGCGGCGGCTCGCGTAATTCACGGCCGTCCGGTCTCGTCGTCTCTCCGGTTCATCGGTCGCCGTCGAAAAACCGTCGGGTTGTAGAAGGAAAAAAATACAAATACAAATAATAACGATAATAACGTTCTACCCGTCGAGTATTCCCGGCGACATCGACACGGCGTTACGCGTTCGGACGCGCTGCGACGCGTTCGTCAACCGTCCACGGCCGTTTGCCGCGTCGGCCGCGCGATGACGCGCACGGCGGACGCGTATTCACGGGTAAAACCACGCGGCCCGGGCCGAACTCCGACGGGGAGGGAGGGGTCCGTAAACGCACCGCCGCCGCGCGTTTCGTGGGTTTTCCCGGGTCGCGCGTTTCTCCCGTTCGGACGGCCGGCGGCGGAACAAAAACGTTTCGGTAACGCACGACGCACGCGGGCGGACTTTTGTCCGAAAACAATGTTCACATTTCGCGACAGGTTCGGATTTCCGATTTTCCAATGGTTTACCGGCGCTCGTCCCGTTCCCACTGTTCTCCTCCGCCTCCGTCCCGTCCCAACTGTACTTCCACCCGATAAATCTCCCCCGTTTTGTCCTTGCGCGCGCCCGCCGTCGGTCTCACCCGATCGCCTCCTTTTCGGTCTGTTAAAACTACAACAGCGTCTACTGTTTTCATAAAAGTGTTGTTCGCAACCACTTAATGTCATCCGAAAATTAGGTCTGGGAAACATTTATATGCTCCCAGAAACGCAACGCTAAACAAGCACAGAAATCGAACGAAACGAGTTTTTTTCGGCCCGCCCTACTGTGTGAACAACGTGAGCGAGAATTTCGAAAAGGCGTTTAAGTTTATACACCGAGGTTTAAAAACGGCAATAAACCGTGGCAATCAAAAACACAGAGCTCATACATAAACTACAGTAGGTATTCAGTGTTGGTGTTTGTTTCTTTAGCCGAGATAGGTAGCTGAAAAATCGACAAAAATATCACCAATGTACCGCAATGTATCGTCATTTATTGTCGGGAGTTTAAAAAATCGCGCGAACAAATTACCGCCGGGAGGAAATTCAGCGCATTTTGACGCGAGACACGAATCGGAGAGTAGTCGGAGAATTTTCAGTGACTTGTGAAAAAAAACGCACATATCAATCACACTAATAATACGTATAGGTTGCTTCTCCGCCGTACTGAGAATCTGAAACGGAAAATGAAATCAGTTTTTTAATGTATTCCCCGGAATAATCAACGGATAGAATTTCGCATAATCGAATAATAATTGCGGTAATTGGGCAATTTTTTTTATACGTAAAACTGTAGTTGACCGGACCGGTAAAACGACGCCGACGGGTAACGGTTTTTCGCGAACTAAAAATAGTAACTAACGTTACTTTTCAAACGGCGTTTATTTTCGACAGAAATAAACGTTAGTAAAACGTTCGCTCTGCCGAAATCTAATCTCGGTACCGGTGACCCGCGCGGTACAAAATTAAATATTTACCCGGCCAGTGTCGAACGACGGACCGCGTGACTTTTATTTCTCGTTGTTTTCGTTAGACTCTCGGCGTTTCACGCGATTAGCTGATATTCCTCCGTCACTTCGGTTACTCCGGACGGTCTTCAGTGTTCACCACGAACACACCCGCCCCGGAACACGCGTTTTCGAATCCCGCGCCGGCAGTTTACCCACGCGCTCGGCTGCTCTCCCGGCTGCGTCTCGGCCGGCGCGCAGGGTTACCGCCGGACGGCCGGTTTGCATTTACCGTTAATCCGCGCGACAACATTTCCGTCGGTGTGCAATAGGTGGCGCGGATATTGCGATGTGGACATAGTAACGTCTGTCTCGGACAATAATATTTTATTCCGCGCCGGCCAACGTGACTGTCCGTCGAATCGCGAAACCGGTTTAACAATTGCACGGCTGAATATGATATTACGCACCCGTGTGCGCGATACAGTTGAGACTTTGCGGTCTCTTTTTCGGACGGTCGGCACGTTTCACATGACGTCTACGTTACGTCGAACTGAAATTTCGTCGGAACGTCCGACGGTTTTTGTACGGCACGGTTCGCGTTATTACGGATCAATTCAATACGCGATATTGTGGCGCTGTACAAGTCATGCGCATTTATCTACGGGATAATATTGTTTGTTTACATCTGATCTTGTCCAAATGAAAACAATCGATGTCCAAATGAAAACAATTTACCTTTTTAGTAACCCGTCTAGATAAAAAAAAAAAATAACGCCGGGCAGTTAAAAAAAAAAAAAAACGTATTATTACAAATAACCGCGTAGGAATTATTTTAACTGAATATACTCTTATCTCCCTGCTAGTGTGGTCTCGGCATAAACGGGAATAAACAGCGGCGACGTCACGGTCGTCTAACCACCTTCTCGAAATCATAATTATACAATTTTTGTTGGCTCTGTCTTGTTGTGCGCCACTTGTATGCATTTGTACGTTTTATATAATTGTATCTGCGGCATAGTTTAAAAACGCGTTGCATATATGTCCATCCGTATCTAGATGGTTTTGGAAAAATTAATCTTTGTCTGTAAAAAATGTTACTTTTCTGCGCACTTACAATAGCGTCGATATAAGGTCATTTAAATAAAATCAAGTTTTCAATGGGTTTTACTGTTGGCGTGCGCTTATCATTTTGCACGTAAACAGTTTTCCCACTAGAAATGTGTTTTCAATTCAAAAATTAAAAAGAACATTTTTTTGTAGCGTTTGGATCTAGTTGGCACATATAAGGTGGTCGGTTTTTGATTTTTCAAATATACATCTTAATGATCGGGCAAAAACACAGGAAAAACTGGAACGTTTATGGCAATAACGGTTTCATTACCTACATATATTATTATTATTTTTTTACTGTTGTAATTCGGTTAAAATAATTGTAGATATCTGAAACGTTTGTAAAACACTTATATTAGACATTTTCTAAACGCTGTCTAACTCTAAAAATATACTGGCGATTTTCGAGCTATTTATGGGAATTTGATACTTTCGAATTTTTTTTAGATTTTATTCGGTTTTATACGGATAAAATTATTTAACTTGGTGGCCAAAAAAAATAATAACAATAATAAAATAAAATAAAAAATTGACTATAATGTAGCGGTTTTATTTATAAAAGATCACGGAATTTCGATTCGTGTGTTACCAGACTTCGCTCAAAATCGTTGTCCATTTTACAATGATTGATCGTCGCGTACTTCCCATTTTCCCGTCTACAACCGCGGCACATCCGTTATCGGTTATTTTTTATTTTTTTAAAATATTATTCTAGGAAAATTTGATTTAGGCATTATTTAAACGTACCGATTTCACATACACTGTTTGTCCGTATATTCGGTATTGCTTTGCAGAATTTCCAAAAAAACAGACATAATAATGTTGTTACCGTGGTGTTACCCAATTTTCTTTATACGAATAATCGATTGTTACAGTTTCGTTATAATAAGTAATAGCTGCATAGTTAGTTTGGCCGTGATTAGTTAACGAAAATTGTAGTACGGTCAGCCGGTGGAAATTATACGTGGATAATACACGTATAACCGGGGAATGAACACGAATCGGGTTTATGATTATAATCATTTATTTTTTATTTTTGGTAAACCAACGGAGAAATATCGACCGAGTGTAGTAACGTGCCGTGTGAGTGACATGCGACAGTCGTTGTAATATTTTTGCCTGTACCGCCAACACTAATCGTATAATTTACATTGTAAACGCGTGCGTTTAATTTAGAGAAAGAGAAACGATACATTTATTTTTGTTTTATTAAAACACCGAGCTAAGGCTGACTGGTAAATGTACGGATTTTCTAAACTCAATTAGAGAAATTTCACTCAAAAGTTGATTGTGAAAAGCTAATTTAATATTCTTCTGTGTCAGTTGGTTACTTTGTGGAGTTAAAATTAAATGAACTTCGAATTAATCTAGGCGAACAGATTTATTTATATGAAACCTTGTCCTTATTAGGTAGCATTTTAAATTTAACTATATTTCAGTACACAATTATTTAGCTTGCTAAATTGATAAAGTTATGAAGTTGCTGAAGGTGAAACAAAAAACTTACAAAGTAAAAGGCTTGAAATAAACTTGATTTAACAACACAACTTAATATTAAAAAACTACAGAAAATTAGCGCAGCAGAGATGAGAATGCTTAGGTGACGGGAGACGAGAAGGAGCGACGAGGCGTGACAAGAGTAAATATGATAAGAGATGAGTACATAAGAGGTAGCTTAGGCGTGGCTTCAATAATTGATAAAATGAGAAAAAATAGTCTGAGACGGTTTGAGCATACCGCGGAGAAGGAGGGGATCTGAGGCGGTAAACATTGTAATGAAAAAAAAAAAACGCCAGAGGAAATAGGCAGAGAGGAAGACTGGATAAGGGACGGTTGCCCGCGGGAAAAAAAAGGCCGAAATATTTTTCAACTAATACCTACATTTCGTACATTTTCCCGTTTTTCCTCCGTTTTGTCCCGGTTTTTTCCCCATTTGTCGAGAAAATCGAAAAACGACCTCCTTAACGTACCACCCGGGGAAAATTTCCTTTCAGAAAAGGGTCTATATTGTGTACACCGGAGCAAGGTTTCTGTACAAGAATATAAAAAAAAAAAAAAAAATAATAATAACATTAATCGTCTTTGTAAAACCGATACATTGTCCGCTACGCTCAGGGTCCGGAACGAAATTAATACGTTTCCGTTTGGACCGAAATGCTACGTTATTTAATTATTTTTCGTGAAAGAAAAAAATAAAAAAAAAAAAATCCGTACATACATCAGGCGTTTTTCGTTCGGTACACGATAAAAGATGGGTCATGAATCCGCCATCCGAGATAAACCCGAAAAAACATATATAAATAAATAATACAGAACGCGTTGTTTAAATTACAACCGCGAACGTCGTACACTCGGTCAGGTTAGGTCCGTCGCGTCGCGCTCTTCCCGTTTTCCAGCATGTTCGCTAATAGTTTTTTTGGCCGTTCAAACGCAACGGGCGATCGCGTCGGTGCGGTTTGTTCCCGCGGAGCTTTCGTCGGCGCGAACGCCGGCGGCAAGTGTTCGCGAACGCGTTCGCCCGGTACCGGGACGGAAATCGTCATTCCCGTCCGCGGCGCGTGCGGACGGAATCGACGCGGTCCGCCCGGAATCCGGGAATTTCGACGAACGAAAAATATTGTTTCGAGAAAAAAAAACCTCAATTTCAAACCGACAACGTTCATCATTACGATTATTGTTGCGCGTCCTCCGCGAACGAGCCAACGCCCGTTTCGGTTTAACACCGGCACAAGGACGGCGGTAACGCGTCATGACGACCACGACGGTAACAACACCGACAACGACAACGACGTCTGTCGCGCACTCTTTTGGGAACGCGTACGGTGGGGGGGGGGCGGTGGAGTGGACGCGACGCGCGAGTCGTTGACTGATCGCCGTCGGACGCCCGTGCGTGTGATACGGTCACCGCGGTCACCGCCGTACGAACGCATTGTCGCGTCGTCGTTACCGACGCGGAGTGACGCCCGCCGGCGCGTTCGCGTTCGCGTTCCCCGGCGGCGCACCGATATCGCGCTACTTTGATAGCCCGGGATCGCCGGCGCGTCGCTGCTGCGGCAATAATCGTGTCGTCCGCCGTACCGGGCGGTCGCGCAACGAAACCGACGGGCGCGTCGGTTTTCGCGATTTCTCCCCCCTCCCCGACGAAACCTCGGTCGAGGTTTAAGGTTTTCCGTCTCGGACGTCCGCGTCCGGTCCGCGGAGACGATCGTCCGAGGTGCACAAGTGTTTCGAATGTCCGTTTGTCGCTCACTTTTTGACGTGGCGACGAAACGACGTTTGCCTTTAAACATTGCGCGCGCGCGTATTCGACCCGCGGCCACGGAGCAAAGACGAACGCCGCGAAACGATATTCGAGCATGTCGTCGGACTGCGTACGACCGGGTCAACAAAACAACACCGTCAACACGTTGAATTCGTGCGGCGCGAGATATAATTGAACCGTTTACGTCCGAACGCTTTCCGCGCGTTCGGTACGACAATATCCGATAACGAGTTATTAGAACGACGGAACAGTACGCGTTTTGACCGGCGGCCCGCCGAGAGCGCGCATTTTAACCGTGCCGGCCCCGTGGTCCATGCGAATATATGCCGCCCGGGACGACCGTCACTTCTTCTCTGTCGATCGAGCGCGAAACGATTTCTCGAAAAAACGCCCAAAAAGAACACGAAAACAGTACACAGAAATCGATTTATGGGCACGGGGTGTTCAAAACGAGCTCGTCCCGTCGAGAACGCTCGAACGCGTGTGGTTTTCGGACTCGCAGTACTACAACACGACGCGTCAATCGAAACAATGACATTTAGCGCCCGTAAATATTCCGTCCGGCTTTCCCCGGTCGCACCCGGCGACGCGGCGACGGGCCTGACGACCGTGTCGCGAACCCTCGACGGTCGTCCGCGGACACGCGAGATTTCGCCTCGTGTTTCGCGGCCCTCCGGGCAAACAAACGCCCGGAGTCTTCGGACCGCCGAGCGCTGTTGCGCCGCGGTTTCCGCGAGCGGCCGGCGCGTCGTCCGCGCGTTCGCGGAGACCGACAGCGCAACGACAATGTCCGTTAAACTGATTAGCGCCGTTGCCGCTCGTGTATCGGCGGGCATACGCGTGACGGAGGGGTGCGTGCGCGTACAGCGATAAAACGGGGGGTTGCGATCGCGTTGCGCGACCGTTCGATGTCCGGACGATTGCGTGCACTTTTCCGATACCGACATTGAAAAACGCGCCGTCGGGCGTACGCGTAATCTCGCCGGAGAAATTTTATATGTTGAGAAAAAAAAAAAAAAAACCCGTTGCCCGCGCAACGTTCCCGTCTCTGTCGGTTGTCGACCGTCGGTCGATTCGTTTCCAGCGTATTGAAACTAACAGCGCTCGATTATCTCCCCCCCGATTAACGCGAATTCACCACGTCCGGCAATGCGCGCGTATTGTCGTGTTGCATTTCCCCCACCCACTCCCCCCGAAACGTTATTTTCGACGCGAGCACACACGTTATATTAATTGAACCGAATAATTTATATGCGAAAAAAAAAACCTTTTTTTTTTTTTTTCTCAAAGAATTTAAACAAATTATCTAAAAGACATAAAACGCCATTATGTTATTATGGTTTTACAGTAGTTTTCACGGTCTAGTTCATACGGCCCAACCGAAACGGTCAATCGCGCAGAACAGTGTGATAATAACACGAAACGCGTATAATTTAGCGACCATTCAAACCGAGTAGCTCCGGTTTTTACAGTTAAAATGTTGCGTTTTGATGAAAAAAAAAAAATAAAATAATAATAATATTCACGTACCACACGACACTCTGTAATGTACTGTTCTGTATTGTTCCTGCGTAAAATACAAAATAAAACCGAGACTGTCATAACAGTTCTTAGACTCCTTGATTCGTACGTGCCCCGAGCGCTTTTTAACGTGTCGGAGTAAAATTATATTTTTCCATTTTCTGATTTTAGGTTTTTGAAACCCATGTGAGGTTCAGACATGGAGGGTACCGGTACCCGGTGGCTGGTGACCCTGTGTTTGCTAACGGCAGCGCAATGTATTCCTTCCAGGGTCAATTCTCAATCGGAAACCGACTCCGAAGACTCCAGGAGAGTTCTCGGTTCGAGGTACGTTGATAATGAATATTCGTGTGTCGACGTATGACGCGTTTTAATGTACGTTGTGTGTTTTTTTTTTTTTTTCTAATCGTGTAGCGTGGTAACATCCGTGTCCGTAATAATGGACCACGGAAACGGCACCAAGACGTACTTTGCCGACGGACAGAGTAAAAACGTGCACAAGCCGACGGACGCCATAATCGGCAGTCCCGGTAATTTACTGTCGCCGGACCGCTATGAGTTTTACACGTTCGACGAAACGGGAGATTTAGTCAAACGGTTAATGACGCTGGACGAAATACACGGTTTAATCGCCGGGGCCGATCCGGATTCGGTAATGGCCGACGCTTCGCCCACGTACTATCACGACGCGTTGTCCAGTCACTCGTCGGAAGCGCTCATGCACTTGCCGGCTTCGGATCTCGAATCGCTGGACGCGCCGGCCGTTCATAAGGTCCTGGAGAGCGTGCAAAACGTGCTGAAAAACGAGATGGCCGCCAATTCGGGCAAACCGATTCCCCCGATGCCTAGCGCGTCTTTGCACCGTCCGGACTCGGCGTCGGCGTGGTCGGCCTTGTTCCCGGGACTAATCGAAACGCCGGACGACGTGGCCCATCTTTCCGGATACCTGCTCCCGTCTAAAACCACGGAGTCGATGGAAAAACCATTCACGAAAAAACCATTGGCGTCCACGAAGGTACCGTTGACGACCGCTCAACCGCCACCGACAACGGTAAAATTACCGCCGCCGTCGTCTATAAAAACACAGTTATTGACCACGACAACAGAAAAAACCAGGCCCGCGCCGAAATACACCACGGCGAAACCGGAAACGACCACAAAGTTCACTGCGGTGCAACAATCGACGTCGTTCAAACCGGCGACGACGAAAAAGCCGTTCAGGCCGATACAATCGTTCGAAAAGCAAAAGCCGTCGTTGCAAAAGCCAACGTTAATTTTGCACCCGACCGCTAGACCGGCCGTCATGTCGGACAGCCTCGACATCAATAAGGAAATGTCCGCTTCTATATCGGATATGCTTTCGCAGGTGACCGACAGCCAATCGTCCAATCACAAACCGTTACAGACGAACGCTTTGGTGGAGAAAGATAACACGGATTACGTGCCGGAAGAAAGTTCGCCGGAGTTGAGTTACTACAGTCCAATGGCGATGTCGATGAGCTCAATCGCGGCGCTGAAACCCGTTACGGAAGCGTTGACGTTGGCCAAAAAACCCGCGTCGAACACGCCGGCGCCGAAATCCACGACCACCGAAATCCCGTTTTCGCAAAAAACCACGTCTGCAGTCACGACAACGCGTTTCGGACCGACCAAGTCCAACGTGACCAAACCTCGGCCGTCCACGAATGTCACCACTGCGTTGTACATGACAAAACCGTCATCGTACAATCGGTTTAACGCAACCACCACCGTTTCTACGACCAGAAACAATTACCAATACCCGCCGAGCAACATGTCCACTAAATATATGCAAAAAATCACGCAAACCACGCAAGTGTATCCGAACAAATTGATTGAGCCCTACGTAAAAGTCGTGAACAAGACAATCAATAACACGACCCTGAGCGTGAAACAGCCGTCGACGACTGAAGTATTTTGGAACACTACGGAGGACGCGAAGAACAAATACGCGAACAAGGAGCCTAACAAAGTGTTCCAGACCAAAGTCACTTCCGCCCGGCCAAACGGCGTAAACCGGACAAACGTCACCCTGTCGAATCGCGTACAAGAGCCGAAGCCTACGGTCACTCCGAGTGTCGGTCCGGTTTCGTCGTCTACGACCACGGTCCGCAGCCAAACGGAACCCGATAAATTCGTGTCGGTAAAGGTCGACGATTGGCCAATGACCGCTCAGCACCATCCGACCGTTTTGCCTTCGACCACGCCGTACGCGAGCACGGAAAAGTCGTTCTATTCCAGTAGCACCGTTAATAACAATCAGCCGACGAACGCCATTACGGACGCGAATGCCATTAGAGAACTAATATCGTCTCTGATGACAAAGCCGACTACTACTAGTACTACTACTACTACTACCACGACGACGTCCGCCGTATCCGGTGTTGCCGTACCGTCGACCACTGTCGGCACCATACAAACGCTGACTGCCGCGCAATCGACCACTGCACCGACCCCGGTAAAAACCGTTTCCGGGATTCCGGCGTCGGTAATTCCGTTTACGACCGAAGTACCGGTAACGACGCCGACGTCGCCTACGACGACCACAGCGGGCTCGACTACGACCACAACGACGACTCCCGCGGCAACGACTCCCGCGGCAACGACGACGACGACGACGGCGGCGGCGGTAACAGCGCAAACGACCACGACCGCGGAAACCACAACGACGACGCCGGCACCACCGACTACGGGGATGGAAACGTTGAAAACCGCCGTGGAAGCAGCGACGGGAGCGGCTACGGCCGGTATGCCCGTAACGACAACGGCAACGGCGAGCGTGACGGCGGCGGCTGGTACGACGGCTGTGCCGACGACCGTTACTTCGGCTTCGACGGAGACCGCGACCGCGGCGAGGACAACGGCCGCGACCACGGTCGACGCTACGGCCGCGGGCACGGCGACCGCGGTGACGTTAACCACACCGGAACCAGAAACGCAATATGTCCCCGTCACGCATTTCCTACCGGAATTGCAAGTGAAAGACAGACTGGAAACCGAGAACAACGGCAGCAGTACGCCGCCGGGCGTGGATCCAATGCTCAAAGACGGTATATCAGCGGTGGCTAACATGTTGCAAAACACTCAAAAGCCGGCCGTGCTTGACACGGAGTACCAAGAGATCGGCCAACGGCCTTACGAAAAACTAAAACAATCGTCCACCGAACAAGCCCGGAAACAAGCGACGGTCAAGTCGGATTTCGGCGAGACCACCACCGTGTCCGAGAACGCCGTGACGCAAGAACTTTACGAATTCACAACGACCACGGAATCTTCTCCCACCAAGTTCCCGGAACTCAACGACACGGTCGCCATGGAATCGATGACCGCCAACAGCACGGAACAGATTATGCGGAATTCGGAACTCGGGCTGGAGATGTTGACCGTGTTTAACGTTAGCTCCACCGGCGGTCCGGTGCAAGCCGCCAAGCTGGCCGATCTGCCGGCGGTGACGCAGAATCTGTACGACGTTACCACGCCGTTCGAAAATCACATCTCGACCGACCCGCCGTCCACGACCGAGGAACCGAACACCGCGACGACGCCCGGTCCCGCGACAGCGACCAGCGCGCTGCCGGCGACGACTACGGCGACGAGCACGACCGCGAGCGCCGGCACGTCGAGCAGCACAGCGGCCGCGACGACGACGGCTGCTGCAGCGGCCGCAGTCCAAAACCCGACTGCCGCCCCGACCGTCAACACCGTCGGAACGGCTGCGGCGCCGCCGAATTCGACCGCGGCCGCGGCGCCGGCACCGTCCGCTTACCCCGGCGCCGTGAAATCGCCGGGACCGTCGTCCAACGCGTACAGGCCGCTGGCCAACAGCGCGTCGCCGTCAACGGTCGAGTTACATCCCGCGCCGCACGAGAGCATGGGCCTGGAGGCGAGCGTGGCGTTCCTGGGCGACGACGTGCGCCGGTTCGCCGACCTCTGTAACGAGCTGTCGTTCAAGATGTGGACGGCCGTCACTGGCAAGGGGCAAATAGCGTCCAGGAGCCTGGTGCTGTCGCCGTTCGAGTTGACCGCCATGCTGGCCATGGTGTTCCTGGGCGCCCGCGGTTCCACTTCCGGACAAATGAACGACGTCCTCAGACTGGACGACATGGTCACGTTCAATCCACATCAAGTACTCCGGAACATAACTCATTCGATAACAAACGTAAACAACCCGGGAGTGGCCACCGCGTCGTTTGTTCGCGAGATATACAGTAACAAAGTGAGTGCCGAGCAGCGTAGTCTGTTTTCGTTAAAAAAAAAAAAAAAATGTAAAACCGATTTTACCGATAATGAATCTACAAAAAACCACGCGCGAGTATATTATGCTTAACCGTTTTACTGTTTTAGGGAAATGGAAAAATTCTAGAGTTTTATAAGGAACGCGTACAGCAGTATTACGACGGGCACGTCGAAGAAGTCGACTTCAATACAATCGGGGACGTCCTGAGAAGGCGGACAAATTTATTAGTGAAAAGGCAAACATTGGGCCGCGTTGTAGAATATCTCCGCGGATCCGGTTTGAGTTTGACACCGCCGTTCGCCGCATTCAGCGCTAACGTATTCCAGGTAAAATGCATTCGCGTGCGATTTCCCCCGACGTATTTGACTTTTGAAATATTCAAGTATTTATCATATTATTCCGGTCGAATTACACGGAAGAAATACGGAGGTCGGGTGTGTGTAGGCACCGACTAAAGTCTGGTACATAAAGTGTACACCTCGAGTATCGACTCGATTTATGATTATTTTTGCTCGTTGTAAGTAATATTTTATTTAACTAACAAAAACGGTTTTCGGCTGTTTCAGACGAGCTGTGAGAGCGCGTCTACCGAGGGACGAGACGGCGAGATGTATTTCGTAGTGAGACCTTCGACGAGGCAACGGCGACTGGTACCGGTGCCGGCGGCGGTGTGGCGCAGCGGGTTCTTGGCCGGCTACGAGCCCGGACTGGACGCCACGGCGGTATGTCTGAGCCCGGATTCGGCCGTGTCCACCATACTGGTGTTGCCCGGCCAACAGGGCCAGGTGGCGCCGGGCGACGGGCTGGCCCGGCTAGAGCAGCGGCTGATCGAGACGTCGTACCGGCGAGGTGGCTGGTCCCGGATCTTGCGGAGCTTGTTGCCCAGGCCCGGACTAGAGCTGCAAGTGCCCAGGTTCTCGCACCGGTCCGTGCTCAACACCACGGCCGCCCTGCAGAAAATGGGCCTCAAGGACGTGTTCAACGACCAGAAAGCCGACCTGAGGGGCGTCAACGGGCTTTACGATCTGTACCTGTCCGACATGCTGCAAGTGAACACGTTCAGCACGTGCGGCGAAGACGTGATCGGAGCCCGGCACCACGTGGAGACGTATCCCGCGTCCCCGCAGCGGATGGGCCGCGTGGAAATGCTCGCCGACCGTCGCCGCCGCCGCCGTAAGCGTCACGCCGACGACCTGTTGCTGTACAACCCGTACTCCCACCTGCCGTTAAACCTCCGGCCCAGGCAAGCCAGGCTCCCGGACGTGCCCAGGCTCAGGTTTGACAGGCCGTTCCTCTATCTGGTCCGACACAACCCCACCGGCATGATCATTTACCTGGGTAGATTCAATCCGAGGCTGTTGCCGTGAATAGATATCGCTGCGGGCGCACTAAAATGATCGGTAACAGTTCTCGTTCCGAATTATTATTATTATTATTATTATTATTGTACTATTTACTATTATCATTATTATTATCGTTACATAATTAAGCGCGTGCGCATTTTATTGCCGAATCGCCCGATTCCCGATCGCAGTGCCAAACACGTGTTCATCGCGCTCGATGCGTTGGCGGAAATTATTTGAGAGGGAGGGGGGTGGCGAGGCTTAAAACCCTTGAGCCTCCGCGCGATTTCCGCCGACGGGGCCCCGTCGCTAACATTTGTTTTCTGTCGCGCCGGACGGACAGGTACGCTCGGCACTTTCGCGGTTGCGACTCTCCGGTCGAGTCTCCGGCAAACGGATCTGTTATATAGATTACGTAAAGAAGTGTATTTTCACTAATCGGATTTTACCGCAACGGTGTTTGTTTGTTTGTTTTTTTTTTTTTCAATTCAGATAGCACTCAGTTAATCCACTTAATTTTAACCGCTAACAAATCCAATAAGAAACGGCACTAACATCAAACGAAAACTGTCCGGAAAAGCCCTGGGGAGTGTACTCTTCTTTATAGCAGCCCGTTATTAGGGCCCCTTCGCCCCAAACTCACCCGGATCGTCGCAATGGCGGTGAAAGTGCGGAACGCCTTTGTCGCTCTGTTTACGTGCGAGACGGACAGAGAAAACGCGATGTCAGAGACGAGGCCCCTTGAAAAAGCGTTTGACGCGCGGAAACTTTGCAGCCCGTCTCTACAGCACGAATAACGAATAAATACATTTTTTTTTTTTTTTAAAGACAAGGTTTTAGAAAAAAAAAAACCCGATTTACACACGTCGCTGCGGTCGTGCGATCTTGTTTTTGGCGATAAATTATATTTGGTTTTATGGAGATTATAAACGGTCGATTTCACTGACATTTAACAATAAAAGTATTTAAAAATAAACAAACGATATTTGTAAATAGTTTTGTGATCTTGGTGAAATCGACACATTTTTTTAAAAAAAAAAATAAAAAAAAAAAATAAACGTTAATTTACTTGTACTTATATTATATACATATGTATTTTTTTTATACGATTTTAGATAATTATATAGTGTGTAGAAGAATCATTTTTTTTTTTTTTTTTCGTACGGAATATAATTATTTGAAAGTATTATTATATTACTATTAGAGTAATGATATTATTATTATTATTATTATTATTATTATTATTACACACTGAAATATTATGCGCTACACTGCTACTGTAAAATTGTGACACGCTTTGTGATATATTTTGGCAATTTATATAGTATTATAAATTATTAGATTTTTTTTTTTTATATACGTTTAAAATAGGTATAGGTATAAGATTGTTCCTAGTTTTTATTTTATTTTTTTTTTTTCTATATTATATACATCGGAAACATTTATACGCTGTTCAACCAGTTTAATTGAAAAAAAAAAAAAAACGATATTTTTTAACTTGGTTATATAAATATGATTAAAATATAATATACTTTTTTATGTACACCTACAACATTTTTTTTTTTTTTTTTTTTTTACAGAGCGAAAAATAAAACTTTTTTTCTATACACCTTATATGTATATTGTGTTTACCAAAAATATTCCAACGAGATCATTTAGCGTTACTCAAAGAACTCCGCGAGGAATAAACGAAAAATATTATAGGTAACGTTATAAACTTGGCCGACGGCGTATATTTTAGTTTGCACGCGCTGATAATCGAGTTTCGGTACGGCACTTCGGAATAACGCGTTTTATTCGCGACATCGACGGATTATCCACGATTGGGTGTAATCGCAGAGACTAGACTATTACCGCACTCAGACCCAGACTAGTCTCACTTGGGTGTAACCGTGGTCTGTACCGCGACTGAATAATAAACAGGCGCGTCAGCAGCCGGATGACAGTGCGCACGAAACGTCCCCCGGACTTAGAAACACACGCTAACATACGAGGAAGAATATCAAAAACCCGGTGTACAAACGAACAGGTATAAACGCTGTTACAGCCGAACATTAATATGAAATATTATTAATTGTCATATTTCGGGTTTTATTCTAAAATCTAAGGTGCTGTTGAACAGAATTTCGCACCGTCGAAAAATTATGTATTATTAGGCAGGTACTATAGACAGGCCCGGATTAAACGTATGGGCGGGGTAGGCACGTGCCTAGGGCAAGGCAATAACAGGGGCAATCCAGTTTCTAGTGATGCACAATAGCATACCGATATTAAGCATATAAAAATGGATTAGGTAACGTAATAGTTATAAATTTTAAATCACTTATGAGTTGTAAAATAATTGTACAGTTAAAATATCGGTTATGATACACATGCGGAACGTATGGGAATATGTATCCAGTGCTATAATTGAACTTCATCCGTTCCTGAGTCAATATCACATCAATAGGTAATTTGCTGGAAAAAAAATAAACATTATGTTTATTTTGACGAGCCGATTCATCGTTCGAACGATTCATTGTATTAACGACTGGTTCGAACAAACTACCGCATTTTCCACTGAATCATGATCCAGATCATTGTCCTTTTTGGGAAATTTGTAACTAAATGTATTAACACTTGGTTCGTTGGCGAACGACGTTCGATTTGTTCGTGAGGTGAGTGAGTATACGTACCGAATCGTTCTTTTGGGTGAATCGTTCGTTCGCGAACTATACATCTCTGCTGTAAACGCATACCGCGTAGATTCAAATTAGATCATTCAATAATGTATGCAGGTACGTAGCTATTGCATACAAACATAATATACAAGGTGATCCGTTTAAGTGGGTACACTTTTAATGTTTCCGGCGTAATAAGTGTACACAATTGAATGGATTACCTTGTATATTGCAACATTTTGGAGTGTTTAAAAATCGCGTTGTTGACAAAAATTATTGAAATATACCATGTTATAAATGATTTATGTTTGTTATTGTGCGTGTACATTTTTATCCGCGTAGCAACCGCCCACCTCGAGCGTAACAGATGAAAACATAATATTGTATAACTCCGCAAATTTTATCTCGTGATGATGTATAACAATTTAAAACCGTACCGTCTGTTTGCCGATAATCACGGCGATAAACCCGTTTCAGAACGATTAATATATTTATTTTTTTTTTCTTTCTGATCGTATTGTTCATTATAATCGTTTTTTTCGTTAATCAAAAGAAAAAAAAAAAAACGTAATCATTTTACGATTATTTTAATCGATAGTAATATAATTTATTATTACACTGTCTAAAACTGAGGGCATCGCTTGTTCGTCAAATAGGCACTCGTCGCTATTCGTTGATTTTTACATATTAATAATATTATTCTCATAATTACGAAAATATTGTCCGACTATTAATAGACAAACGATAAAGTTTTATTTATACCGGAAAACGTGTAAGACATGTACACAAATGAAAAGATAAATACGCTAATGAATGCACAAATATTATATTGTATACACGTTCAAAGTTCAAACTACAATAATAACAACAATTATTGCGTGTATATTATAACAAAACAAAAATAATAATACAAAATTTTACCTACACTTGTTTTTAGATTCTGAGTTGAACGAGGAATGTATTGGTGTATTTACAACGATGTTTTTTTTTTTGTTTTTTTTTTTATGCAAACACATTTTCTACCAGAAAGCGTACTCCGATTATCAAGTATAGCGTCTTTTCTGAAAGGAAATTTTCTCTGGGTGGTACTTGAAAGAGGTCATTTTTTGAAATTCTCATTGTTATTCGAGATAATGAGGAAAACCTCGGTCGTTAATTTAAAAAAGAACGAAAGATTAAAAATAAGGTTATCATTAGCGACCGGTTTTATTTATTTTTTGTTATTATTGAGTTTATATTATTTTTAATCTTTTTAAACAATCATTGTTGTCATGGAAACGCACATTGTGTTAGTAATTTTACCATAATATGACATAATACCATATATTATATTGTCGACAAAGCAATATTATCAACTGAACTCGGCTCCGAATCGTTTTTTCGTTAGCAATGGTTTATCGTTGCTTACAGATATACATTAATTTCCGTCGTCCGTAGTCTACCTTCCCAACTTCCCACCTACAACGGTGGCGAAGTATGCCCGTCCTTTTTCTTTCATATGTATAATATATTATAATATTACGCGCGCATAAATAGCCGGATTTCGTATTTCGTTGTTTTTCGTATTGGCATTTTGTTTAATCGGCAAATAAAAAAGTAATAAAATATGCGTATGAAATACAAAATAATAAGGTATCCAGGATGATGATAATTAAGGCGGGTGTATACATTTTTAACGACACTTCGACAATACCCAGTTTACTATGCTATGATAGTTTCAAAATTAATATTTTGATGTGAGGGGACTATTATCCATGTAGGTGCAAGTAAACAATTGCGAATTACACAACGATCGCGAATGTTTTCGCCTGCCTTTTTTTTTTTTCGTAGGGCGTTGCCGGATCAGATATTTGTCGATTAAATTTATACAACAAACATATTACGTGTCCAAATTTTGTTTGATTTTCAAATGATCAAATCAAATCGACAATGGTGTTCTGCTACTACGCCGGGCGATAACATATACGTTGTAGAATAAAATATACTAACATATTAAATATAAATTACAAATTTTGTCCATACCTAATATTTTTCCTACGTTTATAATATTATAATTTGATGGAAAACCAGTTTGATTCGTATAATCGTACAGTGTTCGTGATTCGTATTAGGTACCAAGGAAAATATTGAAACTAATCGACATTTTGAACACTATTATATTGTTTTAGTTTGTAACGTAGTTATATGATGTTATAATTAAAACCCCGAATAAAAAAAAAAAACACGTTAAGAACAATATACATTGACTATAAACTTGGAAACCTAACTTAAAAAAAACGCACGCAATCGTTCGTTTTTCGGCCGAAAGAAAAACTAGTGTATCACGCAATTTGTTCAACATTAATAATAAACGAACAAATACTGTGAATATGAGAATAATACGTTTCACGCCTCGTCAATTGCTATTTTGTATTTTATTGCGGGTAGCAAATTGTTTAAAAAGAGAAAACAAAGCACTGCGCCTGCCGCCTAGGCTATAAACCTCTTGGAAGGGGAGGTGATGATGGATCGTTCGCATCAGCCCCCTCGAGAATCGCCGAAGCAAATATTTTCAAAAAAAAATGTCCAAATATTGTATTTACGCAACGAAAAATCACATTGAAACGAATATTCAGATTATAATATATTAAAAGCAATGCCGTTAAACCGTGAGTTCACTGTTTGATTAAACACTTTATAAAACATTCCTAACGATTTCCACTAAAACAGCGCCGCGGGAAAGAAGTTTTCGCGCATTTTCCTGAACAACAATGGCCAACAATAACGCCGTGGCGATAATTTGGCTCTGTTAGGTATACTAATCGGAAAAAAGAACGTCATTGACGAAAAAGGAAATGTCGACCATCGGAGGGTTTTTAACAGCAGCAGCACCTATGCACATGCTCAGCATCGCTTACACTCGGTATGACTCGTGTAGTTAAATGTATTTTTTTTTTTTTATAACTATCTATATCTCGTACACATAAAATTCAAATACCGCTGACTCACTGATCGCTGTAGCCCAAAAACTACTCAACGTACGCACTTGAAATTTGGAATAGCGGTTCCTCCGATACTTTCACCGTGCAACGAGAAAGAATTTTTAAAAATTCAACCCCCAAGATGGTTGAAAAAAAAAGGGGTTTTCACGTATATATTTGGTACGAATGTCTAATTGTATATTTATTTATTTTTGTTTACATTGAATAAATAAACAAAAACGGCCGATAGTTACCTCGATGTTACGAAAAAGAAAACTATTACAGTTATTATTATTATTATTATTACCATCACCATTATTTGCGATATTAAAATTTCGCAGTAGAACACGATTTTTCCGCCGAAGGTGGACAGCCCACTTTCCGCCCATCTGTTTTCATTCAATTCTGACACCGTCGAAACCGTGGATTAATACGGACGAAACAATAATATTGAAAATTGGCACGGGCAACGCCGGGCGCGGGACAGCTGGTGTTGGGTGTAACGTGTGCGATTTATTACAACGTAACTATGTACGCTCGGTGTATTAATTAATTAACATTAGTTAACCTAAGAGACTAATTGGTCTTATTAGTGAAAACCGGCACGCCGTCTCAAAAATTGGATATCTACCTGTTATCTTCGTGGTACGTTTGAGAAAAAAAAAAAAAAATCATACAATTGGCTACCCCGAACGATTCAGCACCGTTATGTATACGTATACATTAATTTTTTTTCCCGGAGTCTACTGCTTTTTAGCTTATAGACACAATCGCAACGAAGTCAATCCTCGTATCAGTTTGATAACGTTTTTACTATTATCTCGTTAAAACAATTTATTTCGACGGTAATTCGACTTGCCCTCCGCCGCGGCGGTTAGCGATAACCGGATAACCGTTTCCGCACGGTCCGCGACGTTTCCGACGTGTCCCGGAACCACGCGGACAGCCGGTCGTTATTTTCGCGGGACGAAACGCCGGTGTCGGGTCCGGGGCGGAAAAGCAATACAAACGAAAAGGGAAAACTCCGCGGGCGAACGGGGTATGCGGATTTTCGTTTCGCCGAAAAAGTCGGCGGCCGGTCATTGAGTTACGGGCACTGTAACACGAGGGGGTCGCGTTTCAAGGGGAGTGAAAACCGATCGCAATTATTACCGTTATTATCGTCGCCGTCGTCGTCGTCGTCGTTGTTCCGCCGTTGCGCGCGCGGGCAGTGGCGGTGAGCGTTGTTTGCGGACGTTCGCTGACGTGCGCCGCATCACATGTCCCGCTCGTTATCGCCCGCGCCGTTTACGCGGTCTCGTTAACGGTGTTAACCACGTGCAGATAACACAATCGATCGTAAATGTATTTTTTTTTTTAATACGCGTGCTGTGCGCGGCGCATATCGTGTACGTCCTGTTATTATCGATGCGCGCGCGTGTGTGTGTGCGCGTGTTATAAACACTAAACTGCGCGTGTGAACGCACGGGTACATACAAACAAACGAGCGCGTTCTTATCCGTATTACAATATTGTTATCGCGCGGAAACCGCGATGATGTTTTTTTCCTTTTTTTCTCCCTCCCGCCCCCCCCGGTATTGTATCATTGAATAAAAAAACCTCGCGCCCGGCGCCGAGCTCGTCCCGCCACAAGTCCCGGAACGTCCATCGAGCGCAGACATGAGGAACGACAGCCGACTCAAATTGAAATCCGAATGTTTCGCCATCAACAGGCTGCAGCTGTTGGAATATGAATATCACGACGCTCTCAACGATCTTGAAAAAGTGCGTACTCAAAACGTATAACGTTATTACGTGTCGCGGTCGCTGCGCGTGATTCGTTGCACGGTATTACGGGGTTTTGGTGTTTTTATTTCTCGTCGATTTCGCTTTGTTTAAAACCGTTCAGCGGTCTTATTTATAACACTCCCAAAACAATCGTCTTGCCCTCGCCCCCGTATAAAATCATGTTAAACAATCGACTTTTAATTTTCAAACAGCAACCGACATTTTTTAACTGCCTCTGTTCGAAAAGCGAAGGTAAAAATGTTTTTTAAAAGAAACCGAAATCGAATTCATTCGAAATCCCCGTAAAATCGCCCCGTGTTTATATTATATTTTTATCTATTTGGTCTATCAAATCCTTCCGTTTTTCTACTGGAGTTCGTGCAATAAAAAATAATATCTAATCGCACTCACGCGTAAACACTATTGGTTTTTTCAATTATAAATTATTTTATTTTACTAACTAGTGCGTACATAGATTATAGGTAGGCGTTCATAGTGTTTATAACAACGATCCGAAGATTTAAACACGCGCAAATAACCGCTAATCAGAGTTTTAAAAATATAATTACCCATCACTTGCTATAAAAATTCAAACAGCGTCGAACTGAACGCTAGGAAAAACTCGTTGAAAATACACGTACCCTACGGAGTGTGACATTTATACGGACATGAAACCCGGTCGCATAAGAAAGCGTTTGAAATGTGATGTTATCAAAAGACGCTCATGATTTCGCAGTGTGACAAAGTAACAAATGGAAAAGTTTTGAGGAAAGGAAATTTAAAGGATAGAAGTAATAATATGATTTGCGGACACAAATCGTGATTGTCAGTTGAAGCGGTTACGGACAACCGAAGATGGAATAGGTATATATCACGTATTCTTAAAGACATGGCAATGGAAAGTTGTTGAAGGTCGAAGGATTTGAGAATTAACAGAGAAGTATAGAACGCTACAGCCAACCAATCCCAAAATCGTAGACAAACAAAGAGAGAGAAAGAGAACCGATAATCATATTATATGAATATTATTATGACTGATTTTCGTTCGTTCACAACCATCGGTTATGCTGTACAAATTAAAGGCGCGTAACTTCTTAATATTATGACTACGGAAAAATGCCAACGATTAAAAATAGTTAACAGCCAGCTAATTTTTGTAGTTTCGTTGGATTATTAATAACTAAATAAAATGTAATTTATAATTTTCTGCATAGTTTAAATTTGTGCGCTCGGTTACCTATACTAATAAGTGATAATAATATTGAAATTACTATAATATAGCCGTTTCGTTATTAAAAGTACTATGTATATTTTTTAATGATTGGACATAATATTATATTATTTAAGTATATAATTTTGCGATATTTTAATTATTATAGACGCTAAGTATATAATATAGCGGAAGAGCTATTAGTTTTACTAAAATGTATGGTTTTTCACTGGGTGAACGTATTTTTTGGTCGGTAAAAATACTCAAAATTGTACACATCGTGCTTTAAACGACGCAAATGTTCCCCCGGTAATACATAATTTGAACATTTTTTTCTAAATTACCGACAGTTTTTCTTAAAAACTTCTTTGAAAAAAAAAAAACTCATAATAAAAAATGGCGATACATCGGTTTTATTTTTGTTGATTTTTGGGTTGCTTTGGTTACACGTTCGAAAACGCGACTATTACCTATACTGCAATAACATCTTAAACATCAAAATCGATTTTTTTCGATTTTTATCGTAATAATTTACAGTTGCTTTCAGTCTGCATAAACTAAATTGTCTCCTATAAAATATTGTATCCAATACCTTTAAAAGTAAAAGTTTTAAAGTTCTCACTTAAAACAGTGACAGATGTGCGGTTTTTTGAATCAATAATGTTGTTCTCGCGTGTTTATAATGCTTTTATAATATATTTAATTATAAGCTAAAATCGATTAAAAATTTAAACCCTATATGTGTATTGTTTATTTTTAACGCCCTTTACTGCCGATCGCGATAAGTGTATGAAAAGTTATGATTGGATATCGTAAAGTTCGTACTTTTAATTTTTTTTAATCGTAAAAGGTTGGCGTTTGAATGTCAAGGTTAGAAACTATAATTACTTATTAGCTACCTACCTGTAATACACTAAATATTGATAATGAATTTAAAATCAATCGTAAATGTTAATAACAATGTAATAATTATAGTTTTCGAACGAAAACAGTACAAAAAATGTAATTCTATTACTATAAAATTTATATTAATACATATTTAATATGTATAAACTTAGATCAAAAATATTTTATTAGAGTCAAAATCGAAACACCCGCCTTAATTATTGAGACATGATTTCATTAAAAAAAAAATCTAATACTACATCTGTATTAACAGGCGTACCAGTGTTGTACAAATAGGAAGTTAGAAAGTTAAAACACATAAATAAATTATATGATTTATATTTGTGCACGCAACGATTAATCATGTTAACGAAATACGATTCTGAGCGAAGTTCGGTTAAACATGATTTGATAAACTTAAATTTAAATCGCAAGGGAAATCAAAAAATTACATCCTCAATGCGGTTATACGCGAAATGCCATAATTACTCCGATTGTATGAAAACTTAAAAGCTTCGTATATACATATTACGACACTCGGGAAATCTGGAAAATTATAATATGTGTACTTACCTACTTCTTAGAATTATTTTGATGGCATTATAATCGTAGTCGATTGCGTGCAATGGATTGGAATTTATAGGTGAACCAAGTAAACAACAACACATTTGTATTCAACACGATCCAATTATTGTTTAACGTTATAATAACTGAGCCATTTTTATTTATTTATTTTTTTAACAAGAATTCGATATTTAAAACACACCATCAAGGTCACCTATTGTTAAACGGATAGGTAAATGACGTGCGACGGGTACAGTAAATTATTTATAAGTAAATAATAGGAATATTATAAAGTTCTATTGACCCGTGTTGTATACGTAGACGTAGACGTAATGTATACTTACACGGAAATACACAATAATTATGATGTATAGGATGGTAAGACAAATAAAAAAAAAAAAACCAATCACGACATAGATACGTACTTTTTGAGACAATATTTTATTTTGTAATATTTGGTTTTTTGTTTTATTTTTATTTTTTTGTTTTTTTATTCAAGAATTGTGGAATTTGTAAAATAATATTTACAATCAGCACAAGTGAAGGGTGTTAACAGTTTACGAGTATCGAGACAGTAGGCGTGAGCGAAGGGGCCAACCATTGTTGGTATTTCAGGATTATCATTTTAACTACAGTTTTTAAATATTATAAAACTATAAAAGGTATACGAGTATACTAAATCATGCAAAAATTGCGCAAAAGGAATAACTCTCGTAGAAAAGTCACAGCTTAAAAATTACAGATCACCCTATTTAAAAACGCATGACAGTTTATACATTTATAACCAAAAATACAGTACCTACGCAGTACAAGTATAAATTAGTGGTTAAAATATTATATCATATAACGCAATTTACTGCCCTTACATTGTTCGCATCATCCTATAGGTATAATTTATTTATTCAATTTAAAAACATTGTTTTTCTACATAATAATTGTTTATCAGAATGTTATTTTCTTTATTAACAAAGATTAAAGTGTATGTACTAGCTTCCTTAAAGTAATAAATTATAATCTATAAACTCCTAATCTGAATAACATCAAAACAAATTATACGAAGGCATAGGTAATATTTTTTAAAACTGTTAATTTGTTTTTGTGTTAAAATATCGCCAGTAATTATTCTTTAACAATATTTTCATTTTAATAAACTTTAGATTCTGAGCGAAGCGAGGAATGTATTGGTTTTACAATGATGTTTATTTTTTTTTCTGTGAACAATTTTTCTATCAGAAATCTTGTTCCCACGTATCAAGTGTAGCACTTTTTCTGAGAGAGAATTTTTTCTAATTGATAGGTACTTATGAGAAGTTATTTTTCAATTTTCCGAGCATTTTTCGTAATAATTATGAAAAACCTGGTAGTAACGTAGGAAAATCGGGAATACTTATGAAAATAATGTTTTTAATTCAATTCAAAATGTGTGTAGTGACGTGAAATTTGGAGGTAAAACTCATATTTTCATTTTCTAGACGTTGGAAAATGTTTTAACTATTTATGGAGATTTTAATTTTGCGAGTTTTTTTACGTATTGTTATTCGGTAAGTACTCTGAGGATAAAATTGCTTAACCAAACAGAAATGTTTGAAAATTTAACTGGAGGTATTTATAAGTCATACTTTATGGTAAAAAAAATTCTACATTACACTAATTTTTTTTTTTTTTGAGAATTTTAACATCAAATGTTGACAAAAATCGTAAACATTTCGGCCTTTCAAAACATCGCTCAGAATCGTTTTTCGTTAGCAATGATTAATCGTTACATACAGATATAGACATACATGAAATTCACCTCTATATCCTATACCTTCCCAACTTGTCGCATACAACAGTGGCTCGCTCACCCGTCATGCAAAGTGTGTCCGTCTTTAAATGATTTTTTATTTTTTATTGTAATAAGTGTATATGTTTTAATTCACTAAAATTTTACTTGGTTAAAAATGTAAAATATTTCATTTAGATACACAATAATAATAATAATAATTTGTCCTATATTTTAATCATATATAAAATACACTAAACTTTAAACACGCATTGATAAACTATTGGCCGCTGATAAAAAAATACTTAAAATATAAACTTAAAAATTCTATCGGTATAATGTATTGATTCTATTAATCTTTGGTAAATAAAAAACGGAATACGTGCTAACTGATATAAAATTTGTTATAAAACGGAGGTATTATAGCAGTATGCTTCTATATTATATTATAAAAAAAAAATAAAAAATATCTAATAGAATATTATATTTCGAGCCCTAGTCATTTTGAATTTTTCGCCAGTTAAATAAGATTTAGGTTGGATTAATAACACACGTATATTTTGATCCACCATTAAAACATAATACAGTCTACAAATATTTAATTCTCTACTAGCTTACTGCAATGTAAAGATTGGTATTTACCTTTGATAAGATTAATTAGCGTTAATAAAATGGGCCAATGCACTTTTACATCAATCTGACTGAGTTTGTATGTAGGTTATGTAGTAAGTACTTAATGTTATGTAGTACTTTATTAGTACTTATAGACATAGATAAATAATTTTAACCCGGGCTCGGAACGATTAACAACTACATATTTCTTTTAACAGTTCTTAGAGATACCTAAGTGGGCTATAAATTTGTTTTAGATAACCGAGAAGTTAAATTCTATTTTTTTTTTTTACCTATTTTTACATATTTCGAAGTTTTGATGCGTATCGCCATATTATTTATATCATTTTCAGCACATATTTTATATTATATTTAAGAGCGTGTTATAATAATTATTGTTCTTGTAATAATCTCTTTTAGAGCTACAAGTTACGAGCTCTGATTTCAATACAATCGAGATTAAGTGAATATTTGTTAATGAATGCTTGTTATTTTTTTTCTTTCTAAATTTAGGAACAAATATCCTTTAGTATTGTCTCCGACGTTTGTCTACCGGTGTCATTGTTGGTTCTCATAGTGATATGGGGTTACCAATTGAACGCGATGACTATTGACACCGAAAGCGGGGAAAACCGTACAATGTTGCTGGTGTACGGTATTGGGCTGATTGTAGTCTCGGGGACAGCGTGCGTATACATCGCCATACGAATGGCAGTTATGCGACCGCCAAAAGAGCCCGTTATTCTACAAGGAGAGGTAAACATTTGTAATATTAAATCATATTTTAACTAGAAAGAGTAGAGTAAGAGTAAGAGTACGGTATAGTGAGAGTATGGTAATAGTGGCCAACCGAATAATGCACTCTGCTTGGCCGACAAGCCTTTGGCCACACAATAAATCCCACTAGCGTCTTCCTCCGCTACTCATCTCTATTAAAATTTCATATTTTTACTACGTATACATTTTGGATTTTGCTTTTTTTACATTAGATTACGGATTGCAGTTGGTTTGATCCAGTCCATATCCTATAGCTACGGTTTTGATAATGAGATCTTATTTTTTTTTGTTTTATTAAAATCAAATAAAAATATTATTCAAGTACCTACCTAGAACAGTCAAAATTTTACTTTTCATTTTCTAAACAACTTGACTCAACTTAACTTAAGAGGTTTTATTAAATATAGGTACCTTATTATAATATGTATGTATTATAAGTTTGTAATTTTATTTAGTTTATAATTGGTTTTACAATTATGTATATTTATTTTATATTTTCCTGGGGCCAACTTTTCTACCAGCGATTTCGCTCCGATGTACAATGATAGCATTTTTTCTAAAAGGAAATCTGACTAAATCCCAATACATGGGAAAAACCGGGAAAAAAACCAGGAAAAACGGGAAAATATGTACATCATTAAATACACATTATTAACGAAAATATATAATGCATATATGTAATTATTTTACCATAATATGACATGTATATATATATATATATATATATATATTGTGTACGTAGCAACACTATCAACCGAACTCCACTCAGAACCGTTTTTTTTCGTTAGCAATGGTTTATCGTTGCTTATAGATATACATTGAATTTTCCCTCAACGACCTTCCCAACTTTAATATTATTACATTGATGATTAATTATTTTTTTCAGGTGTGTCCTTTATACGTAGAAAAAAAAAGATCTCAACGTTTCTATTATCAAACTATACCTGAAATCCATAGAAATAATAAAAAGATAAATACAACTTTTATTGTGTAAACATGAACTATATTTTTTTATTGTGTACATATAAAAATTCGTACTTGGTAATATAAGTTTAGCTTTAATATAGACTTTTAAGGAAAAACCAATATTGAATATACGCTACTATATTATAAAATTATTAACGTTAAGGATGTATTTAGATTATTTATCACGAAAGTTCGTAATACTTGTAAACTTATCAGTATTAATGCTGAACATAATAATATGTGTTTTTATGACTTATGTGACTTTCAGTTAATTTATTTTTTATCTATATATATATATATTATATATTATATATATTTTATTAATAAAATTATGTAAATACAATGTTATATTATGTTTAGAATTACGAATTTTATTAAAATATAATATTAATAACAATACCATAATATGAATTCACTTATTAAATTAATTGTACAGGACCTTATGTAGGGTATTTCGTATTACGGGTTTGAACTCGTAATGTGAAGTGTTATAATATATCGAATAACTAACGGAAATTAATTCAAGTGGCGTCGCAAGCAAACCGCGAGACAAAGATGATATTATATACGTGGGATTGTACCGAAATCTTCATTTTATAGTTCGTATTTTAGAGTGGCCAAAAAGACTCATACTTAATTAGATTCCGTTATCATTAACGTGTGTTCTTGAAAACAATAGCCAAAGAAGTATACGAAATTCCCTGCGAAACTGCATGTATACACCTAAATATAATGTGTTACTTGTATTTTAATTAATTATTAATTTTAATATATTCGTATTTTTTTTTTTTTTAACGATTCGTTATAATACGCGAGCTATTATATAAAACCTAACAATATTAAAAAAGTAAAAATTATTTATCCCTGTTTATGGTTTCAAAAATCCAACATAATAATATAAAATGTATAATTATAACTCTACGAGGGTTTTTTGTTCGCGTATAAACCAGCCATTCTCATATTAATCCAACTAGTGGGCGTGCCCAAGAAGAGATATAGGAAATAATAATCGTTTTTTGCAACTAAACGATTTAACCTAACATTTATTGTGAGTAAATTGTCTCAATGAAATATAAAAAAATATATATTTTACAATTCTATTAAATTTAAATATTATCATATAAAACAAATATAAATTATTACAATAGCCATTGTAATACAATATCAATAACAAATATTTTTCTCTAAACATTTAAATTTAAATTTAAAATAAAATATGTTACGTATTGCGTTCAGTTCATTTTTGTTCGACATAAAAATTCCAGTAATTCGTTAATCATTAAACGATTTTTGGACATGATTTGTTTCATTATTATTGTCGGTAAGTTAATTGATTAAACCTCGAATTAAACATATTAATTTAAATGTAAGTAAATGATTACGTGTCGTATATATATACAC